TAACCCCCGAATCAGTTTCGCAAAAATTAAAAGTTAGTTTATTTATTTATTTATTTATTCAGAATATTTGCGAAAAATCGCGTACTCTGGTATATCAGTCAGCGGGGTGTTTCAGCTTGGTATCAGAGCGCGTTTTTGCGTCTCTGAAAAGTTTTCAGTCAAAAATTTTTCAAAAATTTTCAGAAAAACCTGAACCGTCACGCTCACGCCTCACCGACACCAGGTAAGTGCTGATTCAGTTTTTCAGTTATAAACATATTACTTTGTCTATGCTCAGAAATCAGTAATCAGACTTAGTTAAGATGCTCAATCAGATTCAGACCTTAGAGTTCAGATATAACTCTAGATTTCAGGGCATTCAGTATGATCAGTATGACTCTAGACTTTAGTATCCCTCAGTATGACTCTAGAGTTCCTCTTGTTTCATGTCAGTATTTATCGGCCAGTTTTGGCTACTCGTCAAGAAATTTGTGTGCCTTAGAAATCAGTCAGAATTTCCTCATGCAATCCATAATTTCTAAATCTTCTCAATCTTCAGATGGCACCAACTCAGGCTACCGTGGTCGCTCAGTTCCGCGATTACCATGCCGAGAAGTTCTCGGGGCAGGGAGACCCTCGCATAGTTGACGAGTGGATTCAGGGCCTGGAGTTCATCTTCGAGGTCATGGAGTGCCCCGAGAGATTCCGCGTCACATGCGCTCAGCTTCAGCTCACCGGAGATGCTAGACTCTGGTGGAACGCTTATTGGGGCATGCGCCCCGGTGAGAAGGCCGGATGTACGTGGGAGATGTTCAAGGACTTGGTCCGCGAGAAGTACTATCCCACCTACTATCGGGCAGAGATGGAGCGCCAGTTTCTATCGCTCCAGTAGGGTACTCGTACAGTCGATGAGTACGAGAGAGAGTTCACGAGGCTTGCAGCTTTTGTCCCTGATCTGGTTCGCACGGAGGCCCAGAGAGCGCAGCGTTTCATTGACGGACTCAGCCCAGCAGTCCGTCATAACATCGTAGGCCACGGGACGCAGACCTATGCACGTGCGGTCTCCATTGCCCAGGAGGTGGATGCCAGTATCAGGAGGGAGGTCGTTCGTGCCCAGTCATCTTCAGTTCCACCGGTGTCAGCTCTACCATCTACCCAGCCGCCAAAGAAGAGGAAGGATAAGAATGCCCAGACAGATAAGAGGGCTCGACGGAGGCTTCAGGTTCCACAGTGCCCTACTTGTGGACGACATCACCGAGGCGAGTGTCGCTTTGGTCAGGACGTATGCTACTACTGCCACGAGCCCGGACATTTTGCGAGCCGTTGTCCGAAGAAGGCTCAGCAGCCTCAGCAGCAGCAGCAGCCACAGCAGCAGCAACAGCCCCGTCAGCAGGCCCAGAGGCAGCCCCAGCAGCAGCAGCAGAGGGGCAGACAGCAGGCCAGAGTCTATGCCATCGATCAGGCCGAGGCAGAGCAGCAGCCAGGTACCATGTCCGGAATGATCATTCTTAATAATGTTCCTATGTTTGCTTTGTTTGATACTGGAGCGTCACATACCTTCATTTCACGACGGTGTCTTGACGCCATCGGAGTTCATGCTACTTCCGCTATCGATCCTCTCGAGGTGAGCTTGGCCTCGGGGCGAAAGATAGTAACTTCAGCCAAAGCTTCAGATCTTAGCCTTTCCATCGGTGGCCGAGTTTTGCCTACCGACGCGTTTGTTCTCGA